ATAATTATAAGGCTAAGAAAACCAAAACGAATTTTATTTTATAGCGATTATACACTTATATAAACATATTAATGGGTAGAATATTCAGATTCAGATTCAGATTTGACAATAAACCATGCCAAATATTACACACACTGGCCCTTTAATGTGAATAAACCTTTATTGAATATTCATAAGGATGATGATCATGTTAGGAATTCAGCAATATCAAAGCTCACAGGTAATGGTAACACACATGATCTCAACACTTAAAGGGCTTAAAGACGACAAAGGATGCCTACAGATGTTAATACAGTGGCATAGATTGGGTGTTCACTCATCGTTTCGGGTGATTTTGAGTTTTCTAGGCAGCTGTAGAGAGAGTCCCATTGTTTCCCTCGGAGTTATGCCCTTGAAAGTGAAAAACCAAGTGTTAAGTCATCTCGCTTCTCTCTTTCTAAATTGTTTATGAGCACCGTGTCCTTTGATGGAGGCGTCATCACATGGCAAAGAAGGAAATCAAATTAATTGCATGTCCGTTAATCGCATTACATCTTCATTAACATGCCGTGAGTCAGGGCTTACGCTCATCACACATGCCGGGAGGAATGGAAGAAAGGGGAGAAGCGAGGAGGGAGGGTGGGCAGAGGAGAAAGGACAAGACAGAGCCAGGGGTTTCCCTCGCGGTAGGGACTCCCTCCTCCACACAGAGGTGGCTGTGAATACATGCCAGTGTGTATGTGCACAAATTAGTATATGACCTATTCTTGTGTGGCTTAAGCAGCCAACATGTAATGTCATGTATGTGTAAGGCAGATTCCTCTGCATATATGTGACATCTTTTATATGTTTAATGTATCATGTAATGAATAATTCTATTTTTCCATCCCAATCCTATTATTTATGCAAGACTTGAAAGTCAAACACGCTCATAAGTTCACACATTCATATATTCTCACATGTGGATGAATGAACTATCGTAGCTGCCCTGGAGTACAGCCATGCTCCGGGAGGTGAATGTATAATAATTATTTATAACTCTTTATTTTTAGTTACACGTACAGCCTGTAAAGGTCAAGTTAGCTACTTCTGTTCCAGGCTGTGAACACATCAAACTACTCACCAGTTTGTGCCTGAAACACACCTGGCTGGTCGGCTGATCGAGGTCTCTGGGTCTTTACCTTCAGATCATCATCGTCATATGGATCTGAAACAGACAAATGACAGAGATTTCACTTTGATTTCTCATTTTTCCCCCTTCAATATGTGCAATCCAGTGAGAGGCTGACTGTGTAAGATTATAAAAACTGGCGTGCAGACGCCTAGTTTTGTTTACTCTGTGCTTTTGTGCCATGACATACAGAAAGTTGGTTTTAAAACTGGACTATTAAGTGCACACCAGCATCCATATCCACTTTGTACATTCAGAGGATTCAAAAAAAGTACATCTTTTAGTACATCCAAAACACGACTCTGGCAAAATAAAACTACAAACGCCTACATTTCCTTGGCTTGCTCCTTGTAGCAGAATATTTAAAGAACACACTGATACATTTCAGCACACATCGTGCAGATACAGATAACAGAATGTCAAGTCTGCAGTATAATCTCAGAAAATAAGGAGGAAGTCTATTCTGACTGTCTCATTAGCTTAGAGGCAAAACTCGAAATGTCAATAAAAATATACATATTGAAATGCAATGGGAAGTAAGTAAGCAAAGTAAGCAGCCTATAAAAAAGTTTTGGCTGGGTTATGAAACATAAATAAAACATGCAGCTGTGCTGGAGAAAAGCGTGGAACTTGTATACGTCCTATCAGTGATAAGAATTTGAGGAAACAGAACGATTGCCTGGAGAGAAAGTATGGAGAAAGTGAAATCATGCAACATATCTATGTCGCTTTTATCTCAATTGGTACAAACATACGGAGGCATGAGCGCAGTCTGTTCTGATCTGTGCAAATGGATTTGTAGGCTTAGTTTCAGCAACACAAGACTTAATCAACTCCCTCGGCAGGGGAAACAATCTTTGATTTAGCAGATCTTTTTTCACTTGGGTACTTCTTGCCCCATGGGATTTTTTGCGGTGGTTGCATCTCTGCCAAGAAACTGAGACATACGGCGTATCTAAGGTGCATTATCCACATGGAATGGGATTGTGTGTTTGTATTAGATTACAGACTGCAAAAGTGATTGGCACTGAAATTTCCTCGCATTCACTTCTGTCAAGTAGTGGACCTGAGGAGGAACGCAAACATGTGCACGCACAGCACATCCTCCCCTGCGTCCCAGTGAACACATACACACAACAAAAGCATAGGAGTTGTGCTGAGTTTCTGTCATGATTGCTCAAACGCCCATTTGGCCTTTTATAGGGGAAGAAAAGCTACATTTTGTTTTTTTAACCCTCCAGCTCGCACTTTCATTCACAGCACCGCCTAACTCTGCCATTCCCTTGTTACAAGCGTTGTTCTCAGCAGCAATGCTTATACTTAAAGGCCAAAGAAAAATATTTTACCACAGGAACAATGTAATAATTTTTGTTTGTGTGCTATCTAGATAACATCTGCAGCTGGCTACAGCCCTGGGTAAACAACATTCCTGTTGTGTGCATGTGTGTGGGTTGCTAGCTTCACTTTGTTTCGAGATGAACTGAAATTAGCAAATGGTGCAACAGCACTCTGAAAGTATTTTGTAAGTCAATAAAGCGAGCTCAATTTTGCCTCATTGCCTTAAAAAAAATACAATATTGTTGCATTTAAAATGAATATTAAATTGAGAGTAGAGATGCACATGCCAACAGCTCTGGGATTTACAAGTTTTTATTAAGCATACTCAGGTCAGTGCACAGCACAAACGCCCACTTGCTTGGCTGTAGATTTTATAGTAATATCTTACAGCAGGAACATTAAACCTTGTGCCAGGATACATTGCTCCTACATATTTGTAGCTTGCATTTCCACAGTCCCTGGGCTGATGCTACACTCATCTTTACTATCATCTCCACCATGATAACACTACTCATCCTCTGAGCCCATCAACATTCACACGGCAGAAAATGTTAGAAACAAAACTTGTGTTTGGCTTATGCAAAAAATGAACTTTTTACCTGCCTCGCTGCTTTTCCTCTAATCTTTTCCCTCTAATTGACCTAACTGGTAGGTTAAGACTATTGTTGATTGCTAAACTCTCCCCCAAACAGCAATTATCAAATCACTGCTTAGCAACTGTAACTAGGCACAGAGGGCATGTCGGGCTTTGAAATGTCTCCACATGCTGAAGCTGTGTGCATGGGGCTATAGTGAGAGCGGAACTTGGCATCTCAAATGTTTGGAGGGTGTTGTTGCTTCAGTCTGCACATAAGCAGCAGATTATGGCATGCCCAGCGAACTGGGTTAACCCATAGTAGGACATGAAGCTTTCATATTCTAGCATTATCACCTACAGTATGTATCCACCATACCGAACGCTAGCTTGCCACAGTGGAAACTGTCAACATTTTAGCCAACAAATGGTTCCATGGTTGTGGACTCAGGTAAGAAGCATTTGTTAATGTCTGTGTAGAAATGAAGACCAGCTGCTTAAAGTGGTACATTTGGCTACTACCTTTGTGAAATACATATCTATATATATAGATATAGTCTGTCTGGTGCCAACATTTTCCTAAGCCCTGTCCTTTCTTAATTACTGTTGCTATGCCCATCTAGCTGGTGCCATCCCATTGTTCCTCATTAGTCCAAAATATGTCCCATTAGACTAAAATCCCATAGCTGTGACAGCCTGTTATCCAATAAACAGGTTCTCCAGAAATACACACTCCCTGCTGTCCGTCAACCTGATGGCCAGAAAAAAACGTTTGCAATATCGGCCTATGTTTCTTTAAACCATGGATACATGGTTACATCAACAACACTGTGGTGAATGTGTGGTTAGGTCTAAGCACTAAAACCACAAAAGTCACTGGGAAAGCAGGGACAAGTCTGTGACAAACCCCCGAGTTTGGTGGCTCACACCACTGGGAAACACCAGGAAGGGTCCGTAAAACTCCCAGGATCAGTGGCTCAAATGCCTCTGGGTAACTAACTGCAGGATGTGTGTATTTTCAGAGCAATGGGCATTTATTTTTGGTATAACGGGCTGTCAGAGAAATGGGTTTCTAGTCCTATGGGACATTTTTTGGACTAATGAGGAACAATGGGATGGCACCAGCTAGATGAGCGCAGCAACAGTAATTAAGAAAGGACAGGGCCTAGGAAAATGTCAATTCCAAATTCTCCTCATCCTTGGGAAATTCCTCCTGCTGTTAATGTCTGCTAACAGGTGCCATAAAGCTCGCAATACAGCCCATGTTCTTAGCAAAACATGTGCTACTAATACCACCCTGCTGATCCACTGAGGTGAGTTTGGTAAGTCTAAGGTCTGACTGCCTCCTGAAAGGATTTGTGACTCACGTCAGTGGGAAATCAGTGACACACAAGATACCATAAACTTCTACAAGATAATACAAAGTTTCTGAATTCCACTTTTAAACATTTCAGAAAATGTATTGATTTATTTTGAAGAGCGACAGAGGTAGTGCCGGTCCCGATCTGGGAGTTTCTGAGTCGTTTTCTGGCAGAATCGGGCACAAATTAAGCCCTGTGTGTGGGTGTATATTCTGCACTCCTGTGCTTCTGAGACACAGAGGTCAGCGAAGCAGGATAGAGGAGTAATGTCTCACATAAAATGACCAGTGAGAACTACTTTTCTCTCTATCTCTTTATTTCTCTCTCTTCCTCTGTCTCTGTTTGTCCCTCTCGCTCTCTCTGCTAGGTCTGCAGGACAGACGATTGTGATGGACACCGTTGCGGAGTCTGGCTCAATCGAAACTAAAGATCAATATGAGTAAACCCCGTGAGAGTACTGACCTTTACAAACCCCACTATATTGTTTAATGTTCTGCACCACACTTTAATGGACACATCATCGCACACTTCATCAAACCTTTTTGCCCTCTCTCATCCCTACTTTTTTCCACCCATTTCTGACATTCCTTCATCTCCAGGGGAATCTATTTTCCATCTATAGCTGGCAGTATCACTTTCAATCGTGAGCAGGGTCGATAATCCTGTGATTGGTTGGGAGCAGAGGTGGAGATTTGATATTTTACTTGTAGCGGTGCAGATGCTTTTGTGTCATCTGACAGATGCGTCAGTGAAGTGAAAAGTGTTTTAGAATCTTGCCCTGACAAATGAAGAGATCCCCTGTGCTATCGTTGGAGCACAGTGCATGAAAAATATAAAATGATGGGTCATCATCAATATATTAAGTAGACTGAGAATCTACAAAAGTCAGGGTCTACTTGAAGCAACTTCTCTGAACTTGCCTTTTCTTAGTTTAACACTTGTTGTTGAAAGAACAGAAATAAAACTAGAGTGCAAAACCCTGCTTTTGACAACCTATTCCAGCTGTCTCTTCTGCTCTAGTGGAATAAGATAAGGTAAGTAATCATGTGATTGGCCAGGTGCAAGGCTTGAACGTTGATACTTTACATATGAGTATACAATAATGAGTTAGTAACTACTGACTTTCATAGCACGAGGCCTATTCAGTGCTAAAAGCACAGCTAATTGTTTTGTTGATGGCCACTGCCTGTATACTGTTCACTAAAAAATATCAGTGAAGCCGCTCATGAAAGTGCACATGAAGTGATAATCTGTGACATTTTCTTTTTTAAAAAGTGTCTTATCCTGTTCCCTGGTGCCAAATGACATTAAACAAGCACAAGTTACTGACTGATCAAATGAAAAATGTCAGTAAAAAGCCATAACAATGCTGGTCCCACTGTTCAACTGGCTCAGTGTTTCCCACAGAGAGACGGGGACAAAAGCTGTCTTTGATCATGAAGCCCAATGTTACTGCATAATTCTCTGGTTCATCAGAAACGTGTATGAACTACATTGCAGACTGATGTCTCGACTAACAGTGTGACAAGATGGCTGACTCACATACTATAAACAGGTCAACTTTGGGCTGAATAAATATCGGCAGGTCTGTGTAATATACGTGTGGTCTATGAAATGTCGCCACCATCACTGCAGTGCATTAATATAAAACTATGATCATGTGGTCACATCTCTCGCTACGTCCAGGTGTTGTCTCACTCCCTCTTCCTCTCCTTGCAGTTCTGGTACTCATAGAACTTAAGTTACATTCAGTAACTACTGTT